CTGTTTTAATTTTGTCATTTTCGTTATTTGGCTGGAGTCAGTATTTCCCAGCTTTTAGAAGGTTTCTATTGTAAACTCCCCCATTTGAATAACTACTTCAAGTGATTACATTCCATTGCAGTGGTCCTACACAAAGCTTACTTGTAAGAATTTTTAAGGCCAGGCACGGTGGCTCATGCCTGTAATCCCAGCTCTTTGGGAGGCTGAGGCAGGCAGATCACTAGAGGTCTGGAGGTCAAGACCAGCCTGCCCAACATAGTGAAACCCCGTCTCTACTAAAAATACAAAAACTAACTGGGCATAGTGGCATTCGCCTGTAATCCCAGCTACCTGGGAGGCTGAGGCAGAGAATCACTTGAACCTGTGAGGTGGAGGTTACAGTGAGCTGAGATGGCACCACTACACTCCATTCAGCCTGGGTGACAGAGTAAGACTCTGTCTCGAAATAAATACATAAATAAAATAATAATAACAAATGCAAGCTTTTCTAGTTTTATTCCATTCAGAGCTAATTATACTTGTAAATAATGGTGTTAATCCAACAGTTCTACCTTTATGTCACTAATATGTCCAAATTGCACTTCTGGTAAAGCAATTGCTGAAGTTTGCAACGTCTGTGCATTTCTTAAGTTGCAATGAAAAATAGTTTACTAGATTTATTTGTTCTCTAAGTTTGTCTCCATATTGTCAACCAGTGCTGAGTACATTGCACTATGTGGTCGACCAGTGCTGAATACATGGCAAAGATTCATTGGAAATCTCTGATGCAGTCTGTGACTCTTGTTTGTCAATTAACTATACTTTTTTAGTCTTAGCAATACAAAGTGCTGTTGGCTACAGCCAACAGATGAAATATTGATACTTTTCAGGTTCTTGTAATACTTTCAAGCATTTTTTAGTTTGAACTTCTTTATGGTTTACATAAATGGCATTTAAAAGGTGATGTTTGTTGCTTCATTAGACATACATATTCAGAAATAACATACTTTGGTTTTAGCACCTCAAAACTCAAACTCAATATGTAAAAACTAGTAGAAATTCTTGGTTTCTTATTTCTTTGGAATAACATCATTATTATTTGCTTCATTACTTTTTCACATTCATGCAAGTTAAACATTTTTACCTTCATAATTTTATGTGATTCACAGTAAATACTTGTCAAATTTACATTTATTACTACATTTCTCAAATTAACTCCTTTTCACATTCCTGCTTCTTGACTATTGTTTTTTCTTGACCAAGAAAGGTCTAGTAAAGTTTATTTTGTCATCATCAAATTAGAATAAAATGACGATTTTTTACTTTGCTGGTTTAGCTAGTTATGTTAAAAGTGGGTTAAAAAACAGACTTGATGTAAATTAGAATAATTGCAAAATAACATGTAAAAATTAAATGCTTACATTTTCTCAGATATTTTGTAGTTTGTATTGGAGTTGGAAAACAAATCTTAAAATAATGCACAATGCAATGTGGCCCTGTTGTACATGCAATAACAATAATAATAGCAATAATACTAAATTCTTTTGTTGATAGCTCCAAGCTTTGGGATGTACTGGGAATTTGATGAAGAATATCTTTAGAAAAGAACTAATATTTTCCTGAAAGTTGATGACAATTTCAGATTCTCTATTTTTATTTTTAGAGGGGGGGGTTATTTTGAAACTTTTTATTTGTTTATTTACTTTACTGAGGATTTAATTCCAACATCTCTATGCAAAATATTTCTGGAGGCATTAATTTTTTTTCTTTCTGGAAATTTGAAGTTGTTTGGCTATTTTTTCCCATTACTCTTAATCAAAAGCAATCCTAAGTAATAAAATATATTAGAGGGCACAAATTGTCTCTCTTGTATATCACAACACTACTCAAATAGTGGTTTACAAACTTGTGTTGGTTAAATACTTTTACCAGTACTGCTAAAATAAGCCAGAAATTTAGAGTAAGCATTTAGAAACTTACATTTTTGATGTTTTTATCCCATCCCACTGGAGAAGTTTCTTTAACAGGGCATTGTGGAACTTACATGTTGAGCAGAAAGTGCAAATATCTACCACTATTAGCAGCAGATGTGAGGAATCATTGGACAATAAGTTCAGTGATTAAAAGATAATATATGAAATAGTTTCTAACTTCTTGAAAATCAAAAAATGTGATTAATTATAACCAACTCTGTGAAATATCTCAGGAAATAGCCAAAAGCTACAGATCAATTTGCCTAACATAATGTACATGAAAACCAGTTTTAGCCTTCAATTTCCCTTCAATTTCTTTTTTTCTTTCTTGATGGCGTGTATTTTTTTCTTTTCCATTCATTTGGCATTAAACTCTTTAAACTAATTTATCTAAGAGTGTGTCTAACACAAATTTATATTTCTAGATATTTCTGATATATGCAATGTTTTGTGTTTTTATTATACTTTAAGTTTTGGGATACATGTGCAGAACATGCAGGTTTGTTAACATAGGTATATACATGCCATGGTGATTTGCTGCACCCATCAACCCATCGTCTACATTAGGTATTTCTCCTAATGCTATCCCCCCCTTGCCCCCCACCCCATGACTGACCTTGGTGTGTGATGTTCCCCTCCCTGTATCCATGTGTTCTCAGTGTTCAACTCCCATTTATGAGTGAGAACATGCGGTGTTTGGTTCTGTTCCTGTGTTAGTTTGCTGAGAATGATGGTTTCCAGCTTCATTCATGTCCCTGCAAAGGACATGAACTCATCCTTTTTATGTCTGCATGGTATTCCATGGTGTATATGTGTCACATTTTCTTTATCCAATCTATCATTGATAGGCATTTGGGTCGGTTCCAAGTCTTTGCTATTGTGAATAGTGCTACAATAAACATACATGTGCATGTGTCTTTTTAGTAGAATGATTTATAATCCTTTGGGTATATACTCAGTAATTGGATGGCTGGGTCCAATGGTATTTCTGGTTCTAAATCCTTGAGGAATCACCACACTGTCTTCCACAATGGTTGAGCTAATTTACACTTCCACCAACAGTGTAAAAGCATTCTTATTTCTCCACATCCTCTCCAGCATCTGTTGTTTCCTGACTTTTTAATGATCACCATTCTAACTGGCATGAGATAGTATCTCATTGGGGTTTTGATTTGCATTTCTCTAATGACCGCGATGATGAGCTTTTTTTCATATGTTTGTTGGCCTCATATATGTCTTCTTTTGAGAAGTATCTGTTCATAGCTTTTGATGTTTTAGTCATGAAGTCTTTGGTGGGCTTGCTTTTATAGCCTCATGAGTTTCTTTTGGTCTTCTTTTGAAGATGTTTTATTTTCCTTAAAAGAAACGTCTTACCTTCATAATTTTTTATAATTTATCTTTAGTTAAACACCTTACCTTCATAATTTTTTATAATTCACAATAAGCACTTGTCAAATTTGCAAAATTTTTTACTAGATTTATCAAATTATCTCCCTTTGCAATTCCTACTTATTGAGTATTGTTCTTTTAGGCTGCATGTGCTTAGCTGTACCTTATGATGCATTTTTATTGATAATATGAATTTGTTATTTTCCTGAGTGCATTTTAAGGTAGAAATGCCCAGTGTGATTTTGTTAGCTGTTAAAGAAAAATAAATGTCTGAAAATATTAATCCTGCTTGGGAATAACTTTTGTTTTACATTAGTTAGACCCAGTCTGGATGGCACTCGTGTATATAGCTCAGCACAGCTGCTGACTTAAAAAAAAACCATTTGTTTTATATTCTGATGAGTGTGGATTATTAGAAGCAGATCTTGCTATATATCAATAGCAATAGACAATGACATTTTGTGTCTATGACCCATCTTTTGCTGGATATTTTCCCATTGCCGCTCAGATCTGCTTCCCATTCTTCTTCACTTCGCCCCTGTACTTTCTGGCTTCTAGTTTGGTTTGGCAAATGGGTAGCACAGGCAGATGACTAAAGTGGAGCATGCAAGGAGACTGAGATTGGAGTTTCTATCCTCCAGGCTCCCTCTTAGAGGGCAACCACAGTTTGACTGCATTTCTCTCTTAAAGGCCAAAGCTTTTTATTAAGCACATCTCCTCAATAGTTATTCTGTCTTGGTCTATCTTCCTCTTCAGCCCTAAGAGTGATAACAGTTTATTTTGTTCTGTCCCTGAGAACACAACCATCTTGTTTTATAGCTCTGCCCATGTCTTTGGAAAGAATTCCTTCATTCAGGTACCCTATTTGAGTGTGCGCTACATTTCCTACCAAAACTTTGACTGATCTAATGATCAATTTTTAAATGTAGCTATTTAAAAAATGAAAGACAAAAAATGCAGTATAGATATGACTACCCATTTCATTACTTCATTTTGCTGACTAAAACTCCACTAAACACAAATAGGATGTCTTAGTTTTGGTTATGCACTCATAGAATATACTCAGATATGAATCAAAAGGAAAAAATTTCTGGGTGTAAAAAACAAGCAGAGAAAGCACTAACTATCTAAATGACAAAAAGACAGGAGACATGAAAAGGAGTTTACAAGAAACTTTAAAGAACAGACAACAGTGATATGATCACAAGTGATTACATAAAGTTTCCTATATACTAGGCTCATTCTAAGCAATTTACATGTATTGAACTATTTATTTCTCACAGGAACTCTATGAGGAAATACTATTCTCATTTTACAAGTGAGGAAACTGCGGCACAGAGCACTTAGTCTGGTTGTATAGCCTATTCTCTTAGCTACCGTGCCATGCTGCTCTTTCAATGATTTTGCTGATAAAACTGCTAAAGCATAATAAAGACTAGATATATAGATGGATACACTTGTAATAGTAACTTTTTGTCCTTATTTCCATAATATCCTTATAGTTTACTTATTTATTTAAATTCTTCCTTAGTATAGAATTATTCTTAAGCCTAACTTTAGTTCTTGCTATTCTTTTCCAAAAATAATGAATTTGCATAACATATTATTTGCTACTATGAGTACATTTGTATGCTAACATACATTTAATATTCCTTTTAGAATTTATGATTGGTGAATATGCCTGTTAACAAATCACCTATGATTAATACATATGGAGGCATATCTTCCCCTTATCATGAAGAGCTCTGGAAATTAAATTTTCAACATTTAAGTGGAGAAAGGAGTCATAAATCAAGGTAAGCTAGAAAATAATTATAGGACCCATATGTATTGTAGAGAATTTAGAAAATATGGAAAACTGTGAAAAATAAAAATTCACCCATAGTTCTCTAACCAAAGATTAAAATTTTAAAGTTTATTGTTTTTTAATAGCCTTGTTTATTACAATTATATGCTTTCTAAACTTTTGAATTCTATACTTTTTGTTTGAAATAATTATCTATACTCATATGTTTTCTTAATTTGTCATAATAATGCATAGATTTCATGAGAAAATATTTGATAACTCCTGTATCATGAAGCATTCTATTTAGGTCTAAGATCTTTGATATTTCAAATTTAGACAAAATAGAATGTTTTTCTATTTTGAAATATTTCAAATTATTTCCTTGGGATAAAGTTTCTACAACGAGTGCAAGAGCAATTTGAAAGAACTGTCACAAAGACTTTACAGTCACAAATAATGTACTTTTTCTAGTTGTTTTCTGTGGTATCCTTGTCCCAATACCATAGTGATCCATACTGTAAAAAAAGTGGCAGGAAAAGTTGTTATCCACCTAGAATCCTAGAGAGAAGAAAATAAAAGTCAAAGTGTATCATTAAAAAACTGAATGGTTTTGCTATTAGTCATATAAACATAATATGCTGAAGAAATATGTAAAACTGGTCAGTGCGTCTAAATGGTGAAGGATGCTACAAATAAAAAGCAACAGAACCTAAATATACAAACCGTGACTAGATCGTTCTGTTACTAATAGGATATAGATAAACAGCGGAAAAATAATTTGTATTAAAATGTTCAGAGTAGTTTTAATTAATTTAAAAATTGAAAATAGCAAATGCTTTATAATGGAATGATCAAGTCAATTAAATGTATCTGAATAGTAGAATACAATAGAAATGTTTATAAGAAAAAATTGAAACAGAAACTAGTATACAATGATTAAACTGATTATATCAAATGTGTATTATGGATACCACAATTCACCAAGAATGGAGTATAATCTTTTTCAGCCTACCAGATAGTAATAGATACTATGCTAGAAAGGAGCAGGTTAGATTCTTCATGTAAACAAATTTCAAAAGCCCTGGATTTAACAAAGCACAACTGTTTTCTTTACTCCAAAAGTTCTCAGCTTTTTTATTTGTTTATTTATTTATTTATTTATTTTTAGAGACAGGGTCACCCAGGCTGGAATGCAGTGGCGTGATTATAGCTTACTATAACCTTATTATAACCTATAGCTTACTATAATCCTGGGCTCAAGTGATCCTCCTGCCTCAGGCTCCTGAGCAACTGGCACCATGGGCACATGCCAGTATGGCTGGCTAATTTTAATTTTTGTGTGTGTGTGTGTGGAGATGGGGTCATGCTTTGTTGCCCAGTCTGGTCTTGAACTCCTGGCCTCAAGTGATCGGCACTCCTTTTCCTCCCAAAATGTTGGAATTACAGTCATGAGCCACTGTGCCTGGCTCAGTTTTAAAATATGTGTAGTATAAGTCCGCATTAGGGGGACTGATACAGTTTGGCTCTGTGTCCCCATTCGAATATCATCTTGAATTATAATCCCCATGTGTCAAATGAGGGACCTGGTGGGAGGTGATTGGATCACAGGGATGGATTTCCCCTTGGCTGCTCTCATGCTAGTAAGTGAGTCCTCATGCAATCTGGTTGTTTGGTAAGTGTCTAGTGCTTCCTCCTTCGCACTCTCTTCTGCCACCATGTAAGAGATGCCTTGCTTCCCCTTCCCCTTCTGCCATGATTGTAAATCTCCTGAGGCCTCCCCAGCCATGCGGAACTGTGAGTCAATTAAACCTCTTTTGTTTATAAATTAGCCAGTCTCAAGTGGTATCTCTGTAGCAGTGTGAGAATGGACTAATACAGAGACAGAGCTAGCCTTGCCACCACTACCTATACAACCTGCTTCATCAGAATGAACTCATGGAACACGTTTTAAGTATTATTAATTTCTGTTCAATGTCCAAATTTTTATTAGGAAAAATAACTTGCTAGATCAAAATGTGTTGTTAATAGATCAAAATTTCTTAAAAATTATATGTGATTTTTAAGTTTTAAGAAATTGCTGAAAACTTAGAAATGTATAATGGCATACATGCCATAGAATTTAAGATGTTGGCATATTGTTATGGGCTGAATGTTTGTGTCCCCACACAATTCATATGTTGAAGTCCCAACCTCAATGTGTATTATGGCCGCTGTAATTCACAAAGAAGAGAGTGTGATCTCATGGCAAACCAGATCGTAATAGATATTATGCTAAAAAGGAGGGGTTTAGGTTCTTCATTTAAACAAATTTGAAAAGCCCTGGAGTTAACAAAGTGAAATTGTAACGCAGTTTGATGGTATTAGGAAGTGTGGCCTTTGGGAGGTAGTTGGGCATAGATGAGGTCATGATGGTGGAGTTCTCATGATGGGATTAGTGTCTTTACAAGAAAAGGAAGAGCTACCAGCACTTACTCTCTCCTCTGTGTGAGGTTGCAGCAAGAAGGCAGCTGTCTGCAAGCCAAGAACACAGCCCTCACCAATACCAGCCCATGCTGGCACCCTATCTTGGATTTCCCAGCTTCTGGAACATGAAGAAATAAAATGTTTAAGTCACCCAGTTTACACTGTTTTGTTATAGAAGCCCCAGTAGCCTGAGACACATATTGTTACATTTGTTTCAAATATTTTTCTTGAATAAAGAACACTTCAAGAACTACAGTTTCAGCTGTTTAACCCTATGTGCTTTCTACTATAGTAATTGTGGCATGTATCATTCCAGTTCATTTTTCTACTTTAATATACATGAATATGAAATTGTATTTTTCACATTTATTAATGTAATTCTACCTAATACATTTTTCTGTGACTTAGTTTTTTAAAAAATGCTGCATTTTAACTTTAATCCATATGGATAATTATGTATTTTCTCCATTTTAATGGCTGAGAAATTCTAATATAATAAATTTTCCTTATTTATTATTTTCCAAATTTTTGACAACAAAATCAATGCCATAGTGAAAATCATTGCATATTTCTCCTTGTGTATGTGTGCAAGTGTTTCTTTTTTTTATATTTTTACTTTTACAGACAGGGTCTTACTCTATGTCCCAGGCTGGAGTGCAGTGGCACAATCGTAGCTCACTGCAACCTCGAATTCCTGGGCTCAAGAGAGCCTCCTGCTTCAGCTTCTGGAGTAGCTAGAATCACAGGCACATGTAACCATACCTGGATAAAGAAAAAAGTTTTTTTTGTAGAGATGGAATTCGCTTCGTTGCTGAGGCTAGTTTCAAACTCCTGACCTCAAATGGTCCTCACCCCTCAGCCTCCAAAAATTCTGGGTTATAGATGTGAGCCATTGTGCCCAGCTAAGTATAATTTTTGATTTATTATTTTAAAAAATTTACTTGATGCTTTCTATGGGTCTCCAAAAGCATCTGAAAAAAAATACATACACACACACACACAGACACATATTTCCTTCCCCAGTCTATGAGAGTATGAGAGGATCACTTCCCCTTGTCTTCACCAACACCTAACAGATCAGTTTGGGGAGACTTAACATCTTTATCATAACCATATTATAATTTAGAAACATGGCATATCTCTTCATTTATTTATTTATAAAAATTTTCTCAATACAGTTTTAGTGTTTTTATTTTTATATGGGTATTGTCTTAGATTTCTTAATTTTTGACAGTATAATAGGTCAAAAGTGACACTTATAACAAATTTTCTAAGATTCCCTAATAACTATGTGACTATCTTTTTATGTTTGTTGCTGTTAGAATTACTTCTATATGTTGTCTTATTCTTATTAATATGTTGGTATTATTAAATATTTATTGTAAATTCTCCCAAGGTATGCCTTATCCTTTAACTTTGTTTTAGTTGTGCCTTTACTTACATGGAAGTCTTAAAAATTGTTATAGTTATTATGTTTTTAAGATTCATTAATGTTGTTGAGTGTAGCTATGTCATTTTTATTGTTTGTTTTTCATTTCACTGTTGCATTTTATTAACATACTGAAAATTATCCATTAATTCTGTTAATTTTGGACATTTCAATTATTTTCAGTTCATGGTTATTATGAACAATGTTTCATACATTCCCGTATGGGCAATTTGCTTCATTGCTGAGGCTAATTTCAAACTCCTGACCTCAAATGGTCCTCACCCCTCAGCCTCCAAAAATTCTGGGTTATAGATGTGAGCCATTGTGCCCAGCTAAGTATAATTTTTGATTTATTATTTTAAAAAATTTACTTGATGCTTTCTATGGGTCTCCAAAAGTATCTGAAAAAAAAAAATACACACACACACACACACACACACAGAGACATCTTAATGTACAGACTTATGAGTGGAATTGCTGGGTCAGAGGATATGTATATAAAATTTAGTGACTAGAACATAGTAATTTTTATAAAGTGAGATATCTCAATCTTTTAGGATTAGCCTTTTTTTTCCCTGTATTTTGGTTAAAAAAATCTTTCCCAACCACAAGATCATGTAGATAGTCTTGTATATTATTTTCTAAAAACCTTATTGTTTTCTCTTTCATGTCTGTAATCTATGTGGAAATTTTTATAAATAATATTAAACACAAGTCTGATTTTCTTTTTAAAATGTGCATAGTCAATTCATCAATACCACAAAAGGAAAAAATCCTTTCTCCACTATTTCTGTAGTACAATTATTGTATAACTCATGCGTTCACATGTAATTGATATGCTTAACTGCTCTATATTCTGCTTCACTGGCCCATTTGTCTAATTCCACACCAACATCACACTGCCTTAATTACTATGGTTTGGTAATAACATTTAATAGTCAATATGATAGATTTTTCCAAACTTGTTTTTCTTCAGTGGTATCTTGCACATTAATTTTGAAACCAGCTTGTCATAATTTTTCTTTTCAAAAAATTGCAGGGAGTTTTTAATTGGATTTTTCAGAATCTATATATCAATTTGGGGAGAAAACATCTTTATCATAACTATATTCTAATTTATAAACATGGTATATCTCTTCATTTATTAGTTATTTATAAAATTTTCTTAATACAGTTTTACTTCTTTTTTCATATGGGTATTGTCCATCATTCTCATAGCAGTATCGTTCACAGAGGCATTGTTAGATTTATTTCTATGTATTTAGTATTTTTGATGCCATTTATAGATTATATGCATATATAGATTTCTAAAATTTGTATTTTCTAACTTTTTTTTACCAGAAAAAGAAGTAAATTTTTATATATTGATTTTACACACACAAATATTGCTAAATTTCCTTATTAATTCTGAATATTTTTGTCTCCGTATTGACTTAAAAGGAATATTCTAAACATTTGACTGACAAGGGACTATTAACCAGAATATATAAAGAACTCAAACACCCTAATAACAATATCCCAAATCATCTAATTGAAATATGGGCAACAGATCTGAGTAGACATTTCTCAAAAAAAGACATACAAGCTGGGCGCGGTGGCACATGCCTGTAATCCCAGCACTGTGAGAGGCCGAGGCCGGCGGATCATGAGGTCAGGAAATGGAGACCATCCTGGCGAACACGGTGAAACCCCGTCTCTACTAAAAATACAAAAAATTAGCCGGGCGTGGTGGCCGGCGCCTGTAGTTCCAGCTACTTGGGAGGCTGAGGCAGGAGAATGGTGTGAACCCGGGAGGCGGAGCTTGCAGTGAGCCGTGATCGCACCACTGCTCTCCAGCCTGGGCTACAGAGCAAGACTCTGTCTCAAAAAAAAAAAAAAAAAAAAAAAAAAAAAAAAAAAGACATACAAATGGCCAACAGATACATGAAAAAATTCTCAAAATCACTAATCATCAGAGAAATGTAAACTAAACCCACAATGATATATTATCTCACCCCAACTAAACTGGCGTTTATTAGAAAGACAGTAATGGATGCTGGTGAGGATATGGAGAAAGAGGAATGCTCCTACACGGTTGGTGGGAATGTAAATTAGCATAACCATTATGGAAAACAGGATGGAGGTTCCTCAGAAAACCAAAAATAGAATTGTCATATCATCCCATAATCCCACTGCTGGATATGTGTCCAAAAGAAGGGAAATTAGCAGATTAAAGAGCTATCTGGGCTGGGCAGGGTGGCGTGCTGGGAACCCGTTATCCCAGCATTTTGGGAGGCTCAGTTGAGTGGATTGCTTGAGCCCAGGAGTTTGAGATCAGTCTGGGTAACATGACAAAACCCGCCTCTACAAAAATTACAAAAATCAGCCAGGTGGCTGGGCGCGGTGGCTCACATCTGTAATCCCAGCACTTTGGGAGGCGGAGGTGGGCGGATCACGAGGTCAGGAGATCGAGACCATCCTAGCTAACACGGTGAAACCCCGTGTTAGCTCAATACAAAAAATAAGCCGGGCGTGGTGGCAGGCGCCTGTAGTCCCAGCTGCTGACCCAGGAGGTGGAGCTTGTAGTGAGCTGAGATGGCGCCACTGCACTCCAGCCTGGGCGACAGAGACTCTGTCTGAAAAAAATAAATAAATAAAATAAATAAATAAATCAGCCAGGCATGTTGGTGTGCACTTGTAGTCCCAGCTACCCAGGAAGCTGAGGTGGGGGGATTACTTGAGACCTGGAGGTAGAGATTGCAGTGAGCAAAGACTGCAGCACTGCATTTTAGCCTGGGCCACAGAGCAAGACCCTACCTCAAAAAAAGAAACAATAAAAGAGATATCTGTTTTCTCATATTAATTGTAGCATTAGTCACAATAGCCAAGATGTGGAATCAATCTAAGTTTCCATGCATGATAAATCGGTAAAGAAAATGTGATATATGTACACAATGGAATATTATTAAACCATAAAAGAATCAAATCCTGTCACTTGCAACAACATTGGTGGAACAGGAAGACATTATGTTAAGTAAAATAATTCAGGCACAGAAAAATACCGCTGTTGTCACTCATATGTGTGTTCTAAAATAAATTGATCTCATAAAGGTAGAGAGTAGAATGATGGTTACCAGAAGCTGGGAAGGTTGAAGAGGTGGGGAAGAAGAGAGGTTGGTTAATGGGGACAACATACAGTTAAATAGAAGGAATAAGATCTAGTGTTTAAGAGCGTAATAGGGTGGCTATACTTAACAACAATTTATTGTATATTTCAAAATTACTAAAAGAGTGATATTGCAATGTTCCTAACACAAATAAATGATAAATACTAGAGGTGGTGGATATTATAATTAACCCTGATTTGATCATTAAATATTGTATGTTTGTATCAAAATATCACATATATCTCATAAATATGTACAACTATGTATCCACAATCATGAAAAATAAAAAATAATAAAGCAAAAGGTAAATCTAAGTATGTTTGTTTTTTAAAAAGTATAATATTTTTTCTCAAACTTTATCTGGTATTCTACTTTATGTGTTTTATAATTTATCTCCACTAAAGTTTATTACCATTTTAAGTAATCAGTGTTCCCTTTTATTTTATTTCCTGTTTACCATTTTCATTGCTTTTTAACTCTTCTTTCTTCTTAGGCCTCCTTTCTGGACTTGTTTATTATTTGCCTGCTGTAAGATATTTTGAA